GAAGAAATGGATAAAAGAAGATAAAATGGTGAAAATAGCCGAAGCATAAAAGAGATGCAATTTTTAATTGAAAAACTTCAGTTATGCTTGGCAAGCACTGCACTGTTCCCATGACCTGGGAGCTTGAAGTATGATATTAAGACAGGTTCAGAAGATTATTTACAAATAAATGCGAAGGTGTAGATGGTTTTTGCGATACACATAACGGGGTAGGCTAACTCCTTAGGATACATTTATATCAATGAAACTCGATATGTACATACATACATACATACATACATATATATATATATGAGGAGAAATTATATATACACGTACAAGCCCTAATGTTAATATATACTTTGGTTTGGGTCAAATAAAAGGAAGACCAGTGTTCAAAGTGCGTAGGTAAAATAATAACAAGACCGACCAAAAATTAAAATTAAAATAGGTGGCGCTCAGTTCAAAAATAGGCTGTCGGCACATAACCTTAAAGTTATAAGGAGCGTAGACAGATGGTCGTAGCTACTAAGATTAGTTGCGTATAGACAGGTACAACGATTCATATATATATATATATGTATATATATATATATAGGATTGTTATCAGAGTATTGCTAACAAAATAATGATAATGAAATGGAGATAAGAAGAAATACTCAAGCCATGCTTAGTAGAGGAAGAAATAAAATAAGCGCGCTTGTAGGTATATATATATATATATATATATTTATATATATGCGAATAGGTAATGAAGGATTCAACTCAACGAAAATGAAATCAAATCGGAGTTAAAATATAAAATATCACCGAAGTCGAATTTATAAAATCTGAAAAAATAGAGAAATTGTGTGCGTATATATGATAGTCAAGGAAGAAAAAAAGCAACAAAAACGACAAGCAAAATTGAAAAGATAAGGAAGACGGCTTGGTAACTCTCAAAAACGAAGAATTCCACATACATGCATGTTTATGTACAGGCAGGACTTTATAAGCAAACGAGTCCAAACAAGGCATAAATTGAGGCATACACAACTAAATATGCAAATGTACACACGTACATACGTAAACTCGTTTGTGAAGACAAATTACTGTCCTTGACATGGATATCGGAGTTTTTCTACCTGCGAAGTGGCTGCCTTCCCGGCAAAACACTTACAGGAGGAACAATAGGTGAGGCGATTATCTGCGATACAGGTGAAGAGAGGGTGGTAGGTATCATTTCAACTGCTGTTACGGAAGGGACGGGGGCATTCATTGAGTTAATTGAACTTGCACAAGTCATCCCTGTTGAGGAATTATTCCTTGTCTTTGTCACCAGAGGACTTGTGCCTGCAGAAATAGGAAGAGTAGAGCCTGCGGAACCAGATGCAGATGTGGAGGTGTTGGTGGTAGATGAATGGGTGTTTACTGAAGATCCGGAAGGATGAGTATTCATTGGCCGCATATTTGAAGAAATAGGGCGACGGGAGACAATAGAGCCTGCTCTTTGTGCACCAGACCGATTCATTAATGGCACGGCACTCGTGGAAGTAAAACAGTCGGAAGAAGAGGAGGCAGAGATAAGAGGAGTAGCTGTACCAACCGGTGCCGAACTTATAAATGTGTGCTCTTTATCATTTGTTTCGGTAGCCTGGCTTAATGAGGCCGAAATGGTTGGATTACGGCCATTCGACTGTGTCGAGGGCGCGGCTGCAGGGACAGAAGTAGTTGGGGAGGGGTTAGTATGACTGTGCTGGCTTTGGCAAAGTGGGTTTTCACGTAACTCTGGGCAAAGGATTAAAGCAGGAGTTATATTGGATTTGGTCGGTGAGACATCATTGGATGGAGAATCGCTACTTGTGATGGGGACGGAATCAGAACTCACAATCACCAACTGACCTTTCCCATGACTTGATGAGGCAGTCATCGCTGCAAGTGGGGGAGCGGATATGATAGATGTCGCCACAGGTGTGATTCGGCCCATCGTAATTGTAGGTGCCGACAATGGAGAGGCGACAGTCGGCCTCTGAATGCTGGCGATCACTCCTGAACCGAGACCGGATGTGGAAGGGCCCGAAATCGCCGTAAATGCTGCGCCAGTTAAAAGACGTCCTCCCAGCAAGCCAACACCACTGGTGGTGAGATTTGTGTTTGCAACCGAGGCGGCCGGCAAAGGAGGAGGGTTTGCGCGTAAGAATTCTGGTACACTGTGGTGCCGCGAGAGGCGCTCGAAATAAGGAATTAAATCAAGAAGGGCTCGATCGGTAGGATCATCAAACCAAGAAGAGACCTGCACCGCATTATCGACGTGAAAGAGGTAGGAAGCGGGCGAATTGTCAAGAATCACTACCTGGTCGAGCCTACGACCAAGTTGGCCTAAATCTTTGACGTAATTGCCACGATGATAAACACAGGATTCACGGAACAGGCGATATCGGAATACATTCCAGCGATCGAGAAAATCGGCAACAGGATCGGCATACTTCGGATAAAAATAATTGGTTATACACAAAAGACTTACTAAGTGCTAAGGCCGCCAATAGATAGATAATATACAAGTAAAAAATATAATCTAGATAATTAAAGAATTAATATCTAATTCTTTAAAAATGGAAGTTTCAATAGTGAGGCCGTTACTATCAAAGTACAAAATCGAACAAGTATCTGAAAAGAATGGAATAATAAATATGTCGGTAACGTATAATCCGATTCCAAAATACATTTATAGAACAAAATTGGTGGTGAAATTCTGAAGCTGAAAAAATCACCTCATCGGTGGCCAAAGGATCAAGCAACTAATGACTTAAGAAATAAAAACGGCGTGGATACATGGGGCCATATTTTT